CAGAATCTCATCAGCTGCTCTGTCTGAATTTACCCCATACCCAGCCCAGTGCATGGACCACAGCATGGCTCAATCTGAGCATGTTTAAGAAACAAACAGGTCTTTCCTGGTGGGGCTTTTTGAGGGTAATCATTTCCTTCTGTTCTTCCTATCTCTCTTGCCCCATCCTCTGCAGCCTGGGCTAGAAAGGCTGCTTGTTCTTCACAAGGTGACCCATGGTCCATGGCGGCCAGAGCCTTGATGCAAAGGCAGAAGCTGCTCATGGACTCCCCTGGAGCCTCATTCCTGATCAAAGAGGCTGCCTTCCAGGAGTGAAGAAGTGGGGGTCACTCTGCAACATCAAACAAAAACCAAAATTAAAATGATTATTTAACCCTGGAAGAACCCTACGTTCAGAGAAGTGAAGCAAATTGCTCAAACTGCATAGCTAGTTTGATCATTTATACCGCATGGGGAAGCGTGTATCTTATCTGGATAAGATCCTTGCCCTTGTGGAGCTTAAAGTCTACCACAGGGGTCAGCAAACTTTTTCTATAAAGCAGCAGAGAGTAAATGTTTTACAGTGTATGAGCCATAGTCTCTCTGCCATGACTTAATTCCCCCCTTGAAGTGTGGAAGCAACCATAGTGATCCATAACTGAAAGGCATGGCTGTGCTCCAGTAAACCTTTACGTACCAACACACATGATGAGACACATTTGGCTTCCAGGCTTTCCTTTTTCAACCCTTGGGCTAGTGGAAAAGGGACTCGTGAATGAAACAATTGCATGGCTCACTGTAAAGTTAGTGGTTCAAAGGGAAGAGATGTTCTTCTGGGAACATAAAATAGGAGGACCGGAGAGTCGGAGAAGGTACTCGTGGAAAGTGTCATTTGCAGGGGGAGGGTGCCTTTTATGTATTTATTTTTGTAAATTTCAGTATAGTTAACGTACAGTGTTACATGTTGCCGGTGTATGATACTGTGATTCAACATTTCTGTACATTACTCAGTGCTTCTCAGGATAAGTGTCCTCTTTAATCCCCATCATCTGTTTCACCCATCCCCCCACCCACCTCTCCTCTGGTGGCCATCCATTTGTTGAAGTGTCATTTTAAGTGAGATCTAAAGATGAGGAGTCATTAATTAGGTGAAAGGAAGGCATGGGAGGCGTAAGTGTTTTCAGCTGACAGAATAGTTGGTGCAAAGACCCCGTGGCCAAAGGAACCATAGCTCTTTTCAGACACTGGAATAGAGCCTTGGAACACAAGAGGGATGGTGCGGGAGGCCAGCTCATGCAGGGAGTGATGAAAACCACAGGGTAAGAGTGTGCTCTTAATCCCGAGAGCAATGGGAAGCCACTGCTTTTTTGACTCGAAGGGGTGATATGACTGGATTCTCCATATGAAGTGCTCACTCTGGCTTTTCACTGGGAATCTCCCTGACAGCGATCAAAAGAGACCCGGGTTGATAGGCAGCTCAGCACCCTTTCCCCCACTAACTATTTTATGTTTGCTATTCTAACAAATCTTGCTCTTCTTCCAATTCCAAAGTTCACATTGCATTATGCATTTCATGGCCACACAGCTCCATCCCATTCCATTTTTCTCACCTCCTGGCTTTCCCTCCCCAGCCCAATCCCCGACTAACTTTGTAAAACTTGCAAGTTAAATTTTTCAAAGACTGTTTCTGACAAGGCAGTGGGAATTAGATTTGGTGAAGCCCTTCATAAAAAATTGAAGACACGCTATATTAACATACATTGATTTATTCATAGTGTTTCATTACAAGCAAGTGAGGATCCTGTAATACCAGGAAAGGTTAGGAGAGCAGGGGAGCACAGTATATTATATTGACAGCTCGGTGGAAATTGAGTCACTTTTGGATTGAATTTGGAGCGCAGAAAAGGAATTGGCTAGTAAATAAGGCATGAGTTTTACCTCCCAGTGTCTGTATATCAGTGTGCTTGCCACCAGCCCAGGCAATGGGACAGGGGCAGAATTTCAAAATGCATGAGCACCTGGTGGACTGGGGTCGGCTGCCACCCAGCAGAGCTCTCTGGATGTCTCTGTTCTTGTGCCATCGGGAAACTGGAATCCAGCTGTACACGGGGGGCTCAGCTCCCCCATTTGCTCACCACCCTCCAGTCAGACTGGGCTCTCCTCACTCCTCCCCACCCTGTTCCTCCCCCAGGCCTTCACCCAGGCAGTTCCCCTTGCTGTGAACCTAGAATGCTCTCACCTCTGCTCTGACTCTGTCATCATCAGACGTCAGCTCACTTCTCCCCTGAGAAACCTCCAGGAGCACACTGTCTTAGTTTGGCGACCCCGAGACACAGACTCGAATACAAGTAGATGACTGAGAAGTGGGAGTGGGGAAGGGAAAGGAAGGTAGCCAGTGATGGATGTGTTCCCCAGCTGGCTACCTTTGGAGGCAGTCAGAGTGGAATCCCTCCAGGAAGTCCCCTGGGATGCTGTGGGGGTGTCACGTGGGAGGAGCCCAGCGAATGTGTACATCAGCTACCGTTAGTCTGGTCGCTGGGGTGCTAATTATCCAGAGCTTCCTGCAAGTGCCCCCCCGCCTCGGAACAGCACTCATGCACAGAGAGGCAGATGTTTGCAGTGCTTCCCTCTGAGAAGCGTGGAGGAGGCAGAGGTGACCAGAGGGAAAGCTGGGGACAGGTTCACCAAGGACCTGCGGCCCGGGTGCTCCTGGCCGGTGGCTCTGCTTGCAAAGTGCCCAAATCCTTAGGCTCCGCGTGTTTCTCCTCCAGGGTTTGCTCTGCCCCAAGGAGTCTGGCCTCGGTCCTCGGCAGGTGACATTGATTGCTACACAGCTACTGCTGAACGGAGGACAGAGAACTTACCTCTGTCTCCAAAATGTCTGGTGCCCTTGCCAGAAGCAGCAAACTGCTTATTTTGGTTGTAAAGTTGGTGTGTTCCTGTTTCAGTCTGGGTTTGGTCTTCCCGTCAAGTCTGAGACATTCTTTACAGAAGACAGAGTGATGTTAGGTGTCTGTGTCTTTGCCCTACCTCGCTCTGGAATGGAAGACCCCAGGGCATAAGGTCAAGCCTGCATTCACCTGGGCTGTTCCCAGCAGAACACAGCACAGGTCCCAGAATACAGGCCTGCGTGGGAAACATTTGTGAAGGAGCAAATAAGTGGATGAGTAAATGGATGAATGCATTCTTTAGGTAATGACGTGTTGTCTCCAAGCCAGGCAGCTCCTTACAGAATAAGGAGCACAGCGTTCAGATCCAGCAGACCTGGGTTTGCTCATGTGTCGGTGGTAGAACACTGCATAATCATGAGAATGCGTGATCTCTAGTGACACGTGACAGCCTGCGTGAATCTCACCAACATAATGTGGAGTGAAAGAAGCCAGACATGCAAGAGTACACCGTGTATGGTTCCATTTATATAAAATACAAGACCGGGCAAAACTAGTCTGTGCTGTTAGAAGTCAGGATAGAGGTTATCCTTGCTGGGTTGCGGGGGGCGGGGGGGGAGGGGCGGATCGGAAGGGGGCACAAAGGCTACGTCTTGGTTCCGGTGATGTTCTGTCTCTTGACTGGGTGCTGGGTTAGAACAGACTAGATGAAACAAACACACAATCCTGTGTTTGTCACTTTAACAACTGTGTGATTTAGGAACGTGGCACTCAAAATGTGATCTGTGGGGGCTGGTGCTGGAATGCCACCTGTTTGGTTACTTTCACAGCAGGGTAAGTGCAGAAATTGACAGTGAATGCTTAGAAACTCTTGTAGTACCTTGACATTGCTGCAACACCCAAGTGTGGGATGAGTGGATGGGTCTCATCGCACGGAGTGCAGACCAGTTTGGCTATGACCAGACTCACGTGATGAGTCCCATGTGGTCTGCAGATCATGATGGGTCCGCAGTGGATTGAGAAATACAAAACTGGGCCTTCACCGTAGAGAGTTTGGAAAGTGCTGATTTCATGCAAGTTACTTCCAGTTGAGCCTCAGTGTCTCCAACATTAAAAATGAGAATAAGTATCCTGATGCCCCAAGGTTTGGGGAAGAGGAACAAGATAATGCATGAAAAAGCACCAGAGAAAACAAATAATACATTAAAAAAAAAGAAGAAGAAGAAGAAGATAGCAGGAGGGGAAGAATGAAGCGGGGGAAATCGGAGGGGGAGATGAACCATGAGAGACGATGGACTCTGAAAAACAAACTAAGGGTCCTAAAGGGGAGGGGGTGGGAGGATGGGTTGGCCTGGTGATGGGTATTAAGGGGGGCACGTTCTGCATGGAGCACTTGGTGTTATATGCAAATAATGAATCATGGAACACTACATCAAAAACTAATGATGTAATGTATGGTGATTAACATAACACAATAATAAAAATAAATTAAAAAAAATAAAGTGAAGAGCAGTAAAAAAAGAAAAAGCACCAGAAAGCGCCATGTGGACACCAAGGGACATGGGAACTGCCTTTTAAATTAGCCTTCCAAACCATTCTTATTGGGTGCTGTGCATAAACCCCGCTCTTGGTGTTGTCCAATATGGCAGCCTCTGGCCACACGTGGTTCCTGTGCTTTTGAAATGTAGCTAGTCCAGATGGAGATGTGCCTTAAGGACAAAGTACATACTAGATTTCTAAGATCTAATATGAATAACAGAATATAAGATACCACGTTAAGTTTTAAGGCTGATTACAGGTTGAAATAATTCTTTGCAGATATCGGGTTCAACAAAATATATTATTAAAATTAATTTTACTTTCTTTTTTACTTCTCTTTTCATGTGACCACTAGAAGGTTGAAAAGCATGTGTGTGGCTCACATTCTGTTTCTGTTGGGCAGCAAGGCTCCCGTGTATCAACAGTGGAGTATTCGAGGCTGGGATAATCTGGAAGGTGGACGGTCACAGTAGAGCTTGCTGTTCAAGCCCACATGCCTCCTTCTCTTTGCCTCTCCTGATGTTCCCCTGGATGAGCTCTGTCCAGCTTCCTGAGTGAGGTATTTACTTGTTTGTTTGCTGGCTTGTTGTACAGATCAACTACAAGGCTGTTGGCTCACTGGACCCGAGTGCTGACCTCTCCAGCCAGCGGGGGAAAGTCTTCAAGCTCCGGAATGAAACCCACCACCTCTTTGTGGGTCTGTACCCGGGGACCACCTACTCCTTCACCATCAAGGCCAGCACAGCAAAGGGCTTCGGGCCCCCTGTCACCACTAGGATTGCCACCAAAATTTCAGGTATCTCTCTTAATAGAAAGGGAAAAGGGAAGAAGCTTATTCTGGGTTTCCCCCCCCCATTCCTAATTTTCTGGGAGCAAAAAAGGGCAGAGCCAGCTGTCACCTGGTGGTGTTGGAGCAATTAGGAGGATGCAGTCCCTAACGTGTTAGCATGGTAGTCTTGTGAAGAAACCGAATCCACGAACTTCCTAAAGTGTAAAAAACATACTAATTAGACTAGACCAGCAGGAATGCTAAGTGATTCAGCAAATAATTGACCACACAACTGCATTAAATAGTACATTTTTTCCCACACAAATTGGTTTGTAAAAATGTGCTTTCAGCAATATTCCTTTTGGCGGTACAGAGCACAGCACAAGTTCTCATGAAATGTCTGAGAATGAATGAATGAATGAATGAACAAATGAATGACTAGTACAAAGCCATAGAAGTCTGAGATTTCGCCTACCATCCCTAGGAGGGCCCCCTCCACCACCGGGCAACATCAATATAGAATTATCTCGGATCCCATTTTACAATTTTCATTTTTTGAGACTACCTGTGCAGTTCTGCCCTGCATACATACTTATTTTGCATAGATACCCACAGTGGTTTTTGCAGCTTAATGTTTTCACTTATCTTTATACCATAAGCATTTTCCATGTTGGTACATTGCTTTCATGATAATGTTCTGGCAAGTGGATGGACGTAATTTAATTAAACATTCCCCTGTGGTTGGGTATATTTGGTGCTTCCATGTTTTTATAACATAATGCTTCAATAAACATGTTACAGAATAAAGTTTAATTCCTTGGTTTGGATTATAACTTTAGGATTAAATTCCAGAAATTGAAATACTGAATTAAAAGGCATGTGGGTTTTAATAGCTCTTAATATAAATGGCTAGATTACCTTCCCAAGGGATTAGATTTTCATACTCCTATCAGTTGGGGCTGAGAGAAGGGAGGGTCTCATGAAAAAAAAAAAAAAGAGAGGAAAGATAAGAGGAACTAGTTCATCACTGCTGTAATTTGCATTTCAAATGTGTTGAAGAAGATCTGCTCTGCCTTCATGTCTTTGTTAAGTACTTAGACTTCCTGCATCTGTTTATTTGGTGTGGAACTTTTTGATTCCTGAGGGCTGCTGGCCATCTCATGGCCATTCTTCCCCACTCTCGTGCCCCTGGGAGGGACCTGCGGGCAGGTGGGAAGGAGAGCATTCTCTGCTGAAAGCCTGGGACACCACGTGACTCTCACCCAACCCTTTCCCACCTGTCCCCCTACTGGTCATCCTGGGTATCTTTAGGGATGGCCCCAACGGGGAGGTGGTGAGCTGGGTTTGGGACCCGTGCTGAGTGCCCCCCTCTCTCTGCTCTCTGCCCAGCTCCGTCGATGCCTGAATATGACACAGACACCCCACTGAATGAGACAGACACGACCATCACAGTGATGCTGAAGCCCGCTCAGTCACGGGGAGCCCCTGTCAGGTGAGAAAGCTTCTTCCCTTGGACTTTGCCAGCAACTACACTTCGCCCCAGGGTTGCAGCTTTCAGATTGGTTCAGTTTGGGGGCACCTGGGGGGCTTAGTCAGTTAAGCATCTGACTTCTGATCTCAGATCAGGTCTTGATCTGAGTCATGAGTTCAAGCCCTGTGTTGGGCTCCATGCTGAGCATGGAACCTACTTAAAAAAAAAAAAAAAAAAAATTGGCTCAGCTCAGTTCAACAAGCATGCGTTGAGCATCTTATATGCCAGGAATGGATGGGACACAAGGGATCAAAACGATTTGTTTATTCATTCCTTCAGCAAACATTTATTGGGCACTCACTCAGGGCCCGGCACTGTTTAACTGCCTGGGAGACAGCAGTGAACTAGCTGTGAAGGAGTCATTTTCTAAAGAAAGTCACACTTGAGTTGGGAAGCAAGAAACATGAGAACATAATTACAATACAGTGCGTGCTTATGGAGATATACGTAGGTCATTATGAGAGCTCAGGGAAGACATTCCCAGCTGACATTCTCAAGTGACACCAAGCTGTATCTTAAATGTTATATAAGATTTTGCCAAAGTAGTAAGAGGGTTCAACATGAGCAAGGCATGAAGGAGAGAAACAGCCTGATGTCATGGGAGCAACCAGGAGTAGTTAATTCAAGGCTCAGGATTTTCCTTTAGCATCAAGGTCAAGGCAGGAGCAGTTGGGTGAGAAGGGGGGCCATGTTTGAGAAGTTCCAGCTTCTCTGAGGGCCCTTAGGGAGCCACTGGCTAGCCCCCTGCAATGTCACTTTTATGATACTGGAGGCTGGAAGACCAGCCAGGATGGAGGCTGTTGAGATGGTCTAGTTCTCTGTTTTCCAACCTGGATCCAGCTCTACCCAGAAAGTGTGGGTGGCAGAGGAAACAGAATCAACGGCCAACAGCTTGGAAGTTGCCATGTATTCTAAAGATTTCGAACAGTGTTTGACTCTAAGTCAGGCCTTGCAACAGGTGTGTGTAGTACTCATGGAGCGTCTGGCCATAGCACTTTTGTCTTATATTTTCCACATGGGTTGTTCCAGAACTGTCCTACCTGTGATGAGCCAGAGCAGATGGTGGCTCTTCCATCAGATGAATCATTACCTGACTTACTGTTTTTCTCCCTGTTACTCTCAGGCAACGTGGTCCTTTGCTTCTCTCTATGCACGGATTTCACTCTCTCTGTACATTCTATAAGTGATTGTCCTCATTCTCACGTGAAGGTACCAAGGCTCGGAAATGCCCAGGAACACACAGGAGTCGGTAGGAGAGCTGAACTCAAATGCAGGTCCTCCAGGTGCCAAATCATATGTTCCCCTTGGGCCACCAATGCCTCTCTCCCTTTCCCAGCTCAGCCTCTCATACAGCAGCACTGGTCACTACTTCAAAATCTAAGAGAGTTTCTTAGGTGGTAAGAGTATGGTCCGGGAAAAAGGAACAGCTTGCGCAACATTGCACAGCAAGTTAGCAGCTGACCCAGGTGCACATGCCAGATCTGACCGAAAGCCTATGACCTTTATGTTGGAGACCCCAGCGTCCCCTTGCATTACTGCAAGCCTGCAGATCAGCAAGGGGACCTCATCAGCTGGCATCCAACCGTGCGGCTCCCGGCAGGTGCGGGTTCTCTCTAGCTTGCTGCCAACTGCTGGTTGCTGTGTGGGGTGATGGAGAGGATGTGACTTTGGTGACAGCTGACCTGGATTCAGATGCTGCTCCATCCCTGCTGTGTAACTTGGGGCAAGATACTTAATCTCCCCGACCCTCAGTTTTCCTTATCAGGAAGGCATGGATGGTAGCTGTTTCATAGAGGCTGAATGAAATATAGAAGTGCCCAAAGCAAGGCAGACCTTAGAGAGTTAGTTCCTTCCTTAGCTTTGCTTCTTCTCTGTGGCACTTAGGGGGTTCTATTCAGAACAGTTTTTTTTTTGAAAATCTACCCTCACTATAGGGTCACAGTGTTGCCCACTTCCTCATGGTCACAGAGCCAGTAAGTGATGAGATGAGGCTTACAACCTGTTCAAATTTCCAGAGCTTTTCGAGACCCTAATTCCATGGTGGGAAAGAAAGGGCTTTGTTTTTTTACATAGGAGCCCCTAACTTTATTCCAGCACAAAGTTGCACAGAAACTTCTTTCCAGGAAAAAAAAAAAAAAAGCGTTATACTGAGAAATAAGCAATCTTGGTCTTGCCCAGTGGCAGGATCAAGTTACTTTTTCTACAGAGGATCCAAGGTCCCATCCTCAAAATGAATCAAATTATGTATCTGTGAGCCTCTGAAAACTCATCAAGCCCAGCTGAACACAGATGGGAGTAATTATCACCGTGTCTTATTGGGCAACTGTTAGGTTCCAAGAATTTAACCTTGACTAACCTATTCGTATTATTATATCCCTGTTAGAAATGAGGAAACTAAAAGCTCATGGTCACAAAGCCAGTAAGTGATGTGATGGGACTTAACACCCAGGCCTGCCCAACTCCAGAGACCAGCAAAAGGGTCCTCTGAGCAGCCCAAACCAATGTTCCTGGGGAAGCTTTTCCAGTCCCCCCCCCCAAAAGGGGCCCCTTACACTTCCCCTCTGAGCCTGCATACTCTTAGTTTGCACTAAGCTCATTGCATCCTAAGACTGCCGTGATTAGGAGGTGGGAATGGAAATGCCCCAGTAGCAGTGAGAAATGACAGTGAGCAGGGAGCGAAAAAACAGGGCAAGTCTACAAAACAATCACAAATGACTCAGCAAACGGGGAGGTGTACCTGCTGTGGTCCCTGCAGCCACTCACAGCCATGGATGTTCATTAGCTGTTCTGATTCAACTAAAAATGTAGCGTTAGTTTCTGCGTCTCCAAGTGAAAAGAGCCTGCTAGTTTCCATGTAATAAGTAAGCCCTCACTACATGCCTGTTGCCATACATAAACTTTCTGTATCCTCACAACATTGCCATAATTGTCTCCCCATTTTGCAGATACAGAAACTGAGATCAATAGAAGCCAAATAAGTTGACCCAAGCCACGAGACAAGCAGTGGTAGAGGCAGAATTTAAACTCAGTTCAGCTGACCTTAAGCCAGCGCTCATTTCACACTACCTCCCAAAGAGAAAATTGTGCATGCCATATTTTCGTGACATTTCCATTGGAAAAAAAAAATTAAATGTCACCGCTCAAAGGGGCAATGCTTGGTGTCTGGAAATGTCTGGCTGCTTTTCTTCTCAAGGCTCTGGATCACTGAGGGTGGGTTTACGCTCAGTTTCGGGAATTATTTTCAGACTGTTGTTTGGGCATTTGCCAAGAAGGGAAGGAGACTAGCCAGTGCCAGCCTGCATGACTTCCAGGTCAACGGCAATGACAGCAGTGGCAATGGCACAGAAGATTTCAGTTACCTTAACTCTCTTTCACCTTGAACTCTAGGCACTAGGATGTCCATCTGGGAGGCAGTTGGCCATTAGGTCATTCAGCATATATATATATTGAGCCCTTGCTGTGTCCCAGGAACTGAGCTAAGCAATGGGGATAGAGCAAGACACAAGGTCGATACACACCTGTCCTCTTGAGGCTTAGCATCCAGCAAGTGTGCATGCAAATGTGGAGGGAGGCAGGGCATGGAGCAGGTAAGCAGACCCAGTACTGAAACTGGCAGAACAAGATACTATGAAGCCTGTGGGGACAGTGTATTGATGGAGAGAACTGGACTGGCCAGAGGAATGGGCACAACCCTGGCAAGCAGGCCAGTGAGGAGTCCCACAGGTCAGGGAAGCATGGGCATCAAGAAGACAGTGAAGGCTCTCTAACTGTAGGACACAGTGAGCGCACTGGATGGATTGGGTCATGGATGCCTGGAATCATATTTTCTGGTTGATAGCTCCTTTAATTCCATTGTATCATGTGATCTTCGCTTACCCAGTGAGTCAGCTGGTGGGGAGTACCATCTGCATATCAGAGGAGGAAGCTGAGGTCTAAGATGCTAAGAGATTGGCCCAAGGTCATGGAGTTCGTTTCCATGGAGCCAGTGCATGGACCTCGCTTCCTGCTTCTGAGTTCATTGCTCCCTCAGGACGTTCTGTATTCTCTGCCCAGGATGTCAAGTGAGGTCTCGGTAACCTTTTGGTAGGGCTGTTGAGTGAGCTCTCATTGACTTGGGAATTTGGGGCAGGCAAGGTGACTTCACAGGGGGCCTCCAGCCCAGGATGGTGCAGGTCCAGCCTGTAACTTGTGAACCCCAGCACGTCCCTGAGTGAAGCAGCCGGTTCTCCAGCAGCCTCTCTCCTGAGCCTCGGCTGCAGGCCCCCTCCCCGCCCCCTGCAGCTCTCTCCCAATTTCTGCCAGCAGTGTTCTGGCCCTGGCTCAGCCAGACCCCAGCCCCTGCTCTGCTGCTTGCTGCCCCTGGGAAGCCCCAGGGGTCTGGCTCTGCCTGGTAGAACTGAGCTTGCAGGGAGGTGAGGAGGAGAAGAGCGGATTGTCTTGCGGGGCTCCTGCACCCCCATCCCTCCATCCAAACCACCTCGGAAGCTTGGCCTATTTTTCTAATATTCCACGATGGAGATTTATTGCTTTTGCATTGCTTTCCCCAGGCCTTCAAAGATTTATTGGTTTTTAAGTGACAGAATCCCAGAATTGCTTAAAAGATCAATCAAATAGTGACTAGAATCTAATATTCAGCTCCAACTCGAACCCACCAAACCTTCTTCCCCCACGCCTCACCTGTCACACTGATGTATCTGTGGTAACCTTCATAAGAAAGTAACTTGGCCATGAATTTATCACCCATAATGCAGTCCCTGAAGCAGAGTCCCAGAGTCTGTAGCCGACCTTCCCCCCAGGTCCCCAGCTGGCTTCTTTGGGGATGTCCTTCCGTCCCCCTGCTCTCCTTCCCCTCCTGTCAGTCACAGGGACCTGCCCACCAGCGCACCCCAGAATCAGCGGTGGGATTAGCTCTTTCTTGTACCCCTCTGCCACGCTGCACCCACTCCCCTGACCTGCTGTGG